CTGGGCTCCGTACACCTGGTCGGCTGCAGGTGGGGGACAGCGCGACAGCAACGGGGCGCGGGGTCAGTGCCTGCGCCCGGATGCCTGGGTCCCTGCCCCGGGCGCCTGGGGCGGGCGAACGTGCAGGGGAGGCAGCGCGGGATGGGCACAGGGTGTGACGCGAGGTGACACAGGAGAGATGCAGGACAGATGTGGGGTGACACAGGACGGCTGCAGGACGGCCGCGGGGTGACACAGGACGGCCACAGGGTGACACGGAACAGCATTGGGAAGACTGTGGGGTGACACGGGATGGCAGTGGGGTGACACGGGACAGCGGTGGCTCACCCACGGCCCGGAAGAGGCAGGCGCCATCCTCCTTCATGCGCTTAATGATGAAGCCTTTCTTCTCGCGCAGTGCCTTCTCGAACCGGTGCTCCTGCTGGAGACAGAGCCGGGCTCAGCCGGGGCCCCAGCATCCGGGCAGGACCCCCCACCCCACCAGCAGCCTGCACCATGCCAGGGCACGCGGGACAGAGACCAGCCCCCACGGGACACAAGTAACACGAGGACGCATGTGACATGAGGCCACGTCCCTGCACAACACAACCCTGTACGTGCACATGCAACACAAGGACGCAACCCTGTGTGACATGAGGCCGCATCTAACAAGGCCTCACATGTGACATAAGGGCAAGGCCCTGCATGACATGAAGACACGCGCAACAGGGACATGCTTCTTCCACATCATGCAATGACACACGTGGCAGCAGCCCTCGACCAGACACACACACACAACACGGCCAGGACACGGGTGACAGGCACACGTGACATAATGTACCCACCCTTGCACAGTCCCCTGTGGGACATGGTGACATGCATGTGACAGCGCCACCCTCCCTGCACAATGGGACGGCACATGCGTGACAGTGACCAGCCCCTGTGGGACGCAGGGACAGGCAGGGGGGCCCGGGGGCCCTCCTATGACAGACGGGACAGTGCCAGCACCCTGTGTCACATGCATGTAGAAGTGCCACCTCCCCGGGCCATACAGGGATGCATGTGGCACCCCCAGCTCCTGTGTCACACAGGGACACACATGGCAGCACAGACATGTGGTGGTGCCAGCCCCATGTGTCACACAGAAACACACATGACACTGTCAGCCCATACCACACACATGTGCCAGCATCAGGCCCCACATGTCCCACAGGGACATGTGCAACCCCCCAACCCATGACATCTGCGTGGCACCATCAGGCCCCACATGTCACATGGGGACACACATGACACCACCAGCCCGTGTCACACACGTGTGGCACCATCAGGCCCCACATGTCACACGGGGACTCGCGCGACCCCCCCAACTCCGCGCCACCCCCACGATGCAAGGGGGCAAAA